TCTGAGAAATAACTTTCTTACTCATTAGAGGCACAACTGGAAAAGGAGAGGTCACAGTGGCTCTTGTCTCCTTTTTTCTTCTTTTTTTTTTTTTCTTCTTTTTTTGGAGAGTTTTTTGCTATAGGGTGTGTGCACTCGCCAGACAAACAGAGAGAGACACAGAGACAGAAAGTGAGAAATCACCCCCCCGGGGGGGGGTGGCCATGCCACACTCCTTTCTCCTCCATTCTCCTCTCGGGATCTTGGGCACGTATGCACACGCACCCGGTGTGAGTTTAAGCCACCGGATCCGGGACGCAAACTGTGGTCGACTACGTGGGAGTCCAGCGACATAGCCATTACGCTAACTGCTGGTCCCATGTCCCCTTTCTTCTTGCTTAGACCCTGTGCTTGAAGCTCAGCTTGATGTTGAGACAACCACCGTGAGGCCATGAGGACAGACCTGTGATTTCTTCTTTTTTTTGGAGAGGTTTTTGCTACAGGGCACATGTGCTCACCAGAAAGACAGAGAGAGACAGAGAGATAGAAAGCAAGAAATCACCCCCCGGGGGGATGGATATGCCGCAATCCCTTCTCCTCCATTCTCCCCTTGGATCTTGGGCACGCACGCACATGTGCCCGGCATGAGTTTAAGCCACTCAGTATGGGACTTGAAGCGTGGTCGGCTACATGGGAGTTCAGTGACATAGCCATTACGCTAACTGCTGGTCCCCTGACCCATGATTTCTTTACCATAGATGTGAGAATTTGGTGGCATGAGTGACATGAATCTTGCTATGCATCATGATGACTTATGTTAGTGCCAATTGAATCTTTCTTTTTTTAAGATCTTTATCATAGGGTGATTGCATCATATAATGCATTCACCAGAGAGAGACAAAGAGATAAGGAAAGTAAGAAATCACCCCCTGGGGGAGATGGCCACATCATAATCCCTTCTCCTTCAATTCTCCTTTTAGGATTTTTTTGGGCATGTATGCACACGTGCCTGGTGTGTTCTCAAGCTGCTGGGTCCCAGGACAAGTCCGTGGAGTCAGCCAAGTGGGATTCAGCACCTTAACCCCAAGCCACCTGCTGGCCCAACAGTCAAATCATTTTTTTAATAAAGTAATGGGCTTTTCTTAGTTTATTCAAGATGCTATAACAAAATACCATAATCTGGGTGGCTTAGAAACAACAGAGATCCATTTCTCTCAGTTCTGGGAGGCTATGAGTCCAAGGTGAAGGCAGATTTGGTGTCTGGTGAGAGCCCACTTTCCGGCACTTCTATAGCTTTTCTAATAAAAACTAAGCCCGTCCTGGCTGTTGTCATTTTATAATGAGAAAAGACCTCTGTGCTAGACGGCGTTATTCAGAATACCTACTCCGCTGCCCATAACACAGACACAAACACATGGGAAAATTGCATACCCCAGCCTTTAGACTCAGGAGTGACCCCACAACTTGCTTTGACCAGTAAAATGTAAACGGAAACGACAGTCACTTCTGAGCACACTTAGGAACCAGCCTGCGTTTCTGTCTCCTTTCTCCCCTTTGTGAGGTCACTGGAATGGGTTCCTGCAGTGAAGGTGGTGTTGAGAAGAGCTGCCGGCAATCTGTGATGGGCATGTGATGGCTACATGATAGAAGCTTTTGTGATTCTAAGTCACTGAGGTTTTGGGGACTGAGCCTAAACTGACTGATACTATTAATATCTTTCAGGCCTGAGCAATAGGCCCTCCCATTTCTGTTGTAAATTCCAGAGTTCCCTCTATCCTGGAATGTACCCTGGAGCTGGAACACCAGGACCAACACAATGGGACACAGAATTGCCTAGTCTGTTCCTGGGCCCCAGAAGGCAGGAAGCTTTCTCTGCCCTGAAGGCCTGAGGCTGAGGTTTTTGTACTTTGCCTTAGCTACTACCTGTCCCCGGTCAGCAGCCTGTCTGGTCTGATCAGCTCTGTTCTAGCTGCCCTGCTCTCCCAGGGCCCTTGTCTGGGGAGACTTCTTACTCCAGAGCGAAGGATACAGCTCACCCATGGGTGATCAATGATTTCATTCTGAATGTCCACATTGCTTGGAAGTACACATAATTGTATATAAAAATTATTTTTATTAAAATAGAAAAGCTCTCCAGTATATTGCATTGAAGACATTTATACAGAAAAACGCTATTGCAACAAACATGCTACATCAGCTTGAGAAATTCCGAAAGCTTTAAGTGCCCACTGTTCAACAACATTTTGGTATAATAAACATATCCCTATATATTTTGGAGGATACATATAATACTGAAACAAATACTTCATGTAAAATCTCAGTTCAGGTGCATACAAACAAGAAGTATTACACTGAATAGCTTATTTCAAACTGTGAAACACATTCAAAGTATTTAATTTCTTAGACAACATGCAAACATTTTAATACTTAGCTTGACATTTTTAAATACATAAAATACAGTTCTTTATAATTCCATATTGAAAAAAGAGAACACTTATCTACATTGTGCAGATCACAATAAACAAATGTGTCTTCATCAACGGGAAGTATCGGGTTAACACTTGATTGTCATTTTACAAATATGGCTATTCACCTTCTTCATAATAAAATTTAAAAAATCAGGTATTATTTACATGAACTACTAATCATTTCACTTTTTGGCAATTATATAAGTAGCAGCAATTGGTTTAAAGATTAATATTTTAAAATTCTAAATTTAACTCAGATGAATACCAAAGAATATATACCTAGTCAATATAAAAACGGCATAATGCGAGATGCTTTGATGTGATGTAACTTCTCCCTTTCATGAAAGTCACTGACATGAATCAGTGACCACTGAGACGGTCACCATATAAAATTACATGAGTGTCATTTACTCAGCTTGCTTTTGTTTAACACAATAGATGGAGTCTTGAATTAAATTTCTGTAGTTTAAAAAAAAAAAATTACCAGAAGGCACATGGGCATGCCAGAGAGACAGAGAGAAAGGGAAAGGAAGAAGCCGCCCCAGGGGGGTGTGGTCATTCTGCAATGCCTTCTCCTCCATTTCTCTATCCTTCTGGGATCTATACACACACATGCCTAGTGCATTTTTCAAACTGCTGGGGTTGGACTTCAAACCGTAGCCGGCCATGTGGGATCTGGCTTCTTTAACCACTAGGTTATAGTGCCAGCCCTGCTATGAACTAATTTAAATTTCCCAACAATTTACATGATAATTTCACATATGCTTTTTCTTTACTTCATACGCCCTAGTAGCAGTGACTCTTCACTGGGAACCCTGGCTTTTAGCTAGAGTAGGTAATTATCTGTAAACAAAAATAAATACAAGAAGAACCAATATTTAACGGAACTCTAAAATGAAGTTTCTGTGATATGAACCCCAGAGTAAAGTGAATTATCTTATTAAAAAGTGATCTTCTCACTTACCAGTGATATTAAATCTGTGCTAGAATGGAGGACCCATCCAATGAGTACAAAGCCAATCATAAGGCAGCAATCCACCAGAAAGAGACATCCTCTTTTCACTAGTTTTTGGAAGAACATATTTTAACACTTACAAAAACAAAACAAAGACCCTACTGATATTGGCAGATTAAAAAATACTCCTGGAATGTACCCTGGAGCTGGAACACCAGGACCAACACAATGGGACACAGAATTGCCTAGTCTGTTCCTGGGCCCCAGAAGGCAGGAAGCTTTCTCTGCCCTGAAGGCCTGAGGCTGAGGTTTTTGTACTTTGCCTTAGCTACTACCTGTCCCCGGTCAGCAGCCTGTCTGGTCTGATCAGCTCTGTTCTAGCTGCCCTGCTCTCCCAGGGCCCTTGTCTGGGGAGACTTCTTACTCCAGAGCGAAGGATACAGCTCACCCATGGGTGATCAATGATTTCATTCTGAATGTCCACATTGCTTGGAAGTACACATAATTGTATATAAAAATTATTTTTATTAAAATAGAAAAGCTCTCCAGTATATTGCATTGAAGACATTTATACAGAAAAACGCTATTGCAACAAACATGCTACATCAGCTTGAGAAATTCCGAAAGCTTTAAGTGCCCACTGTTCAACAACATTTTGGTATAATAAACATATCCCTATATATTTTGGAGGATACATATAATACTGAAACAAATACTTCATGTAAAATCTCAGTTCAGGTGCATACAAACAAGAAGTATTACACTGAATAGCTTATTTCAAACTGTGAAACACATTCAAAGTATTTAATTTCTTAGACAACATGCAAACATTTTAATACTTAGCTTGACATTTTTAAATACATAAAATACAGTTCTTTATAATTCCATATTGAAAAAAGAGAACACTTATCTACATTGTGCAGATCACAATAAACAAATGTGTCTTCATCAACGGGAAGTATCGGGTTAACACTTGATTGTCATTTTACAAATATGGCTATTCACCTTCTTCATAATAAAATTTAAAAAATCAGGTATTATTTACATGAACTACTAATCATTTCACTTTTTGGCAATTATATAAGTAGCAGCAATTGGTTTAAAGATTAATATTTTAAAATTCTAAATTTAACTCAGATGAATACCAAAGAATATATACCTAGTCAATATAAAAACGGCATAATGCGAGATGCTTTGATGTGATGTAACTTCTCCCTTTCATGAAAGTCACTGACATGAATCAGTGACCACTGAGACGGTCACCATATAAAATTACGTGAGTGTCATTTACTCAGCTTGCTTTTGTTTAACACAATAGATGGAGTCTTGAATTAAATTTCTGTAGTTTAAAAAAAAAAAATTACCAGAAGGCACATGGGCATGCCAGAGAGACAGAGAGAAAGGGAAAGGAAGAAGCCGCCCCAGGGGGGTGTGGTCATTCTGCAATGCCTTCTCCTCCATTTCTCTATCCTTCTGGGATCTATACACACACATGCCTAGTGCATTTTTCAAACTGCTGGGGTTGGACTTCAAACCGTAGCCGGCCATGTGGGATCTGGCTTCTTTAACCACTAGGTTATAGTGCCAGCCCTGCTATGAACTAATTTAAATTTCCCAACAATTTACATGATAATTTCACATATGCTTTTTCTTTACTTCATACGCCCTAGTAGCAGTGACTCTTCACTGGGAACCCTGGCTTTTAGCTAGAGTAGGTAATTATCTGTAAACAAAAATAAATACAAGAAGAACCAATATTTAACGGAACTCTAAAATGAAGTTTCTGTGATATGAACCCCAGAGTAAAGTGAATTATCTTATTAAAAAGTGATCTTCTCACTTACCAGTGATATTAAATCTGTGCTAGAACGGAGGACCCATCCAATGAGTACAAAGCCAATCATAAGGCAGCAATCCACCAGAAAGAGACATCCTCTTTTCACTAGTTTTTGGAAGAACATATTTTAACACTTACAAAAACAAAACAAAGACCCTACTGATATTGGCAGATTAAAAAATACTTTGTGGTGAATAGAGGTGACATGTGCTTTTACTTGGCCACTATTCAACTACAAACCAGCGGTCCTGGTTTGTAATGTCTCTCGCAAGGCAGGAAGTTAGGCTGAGGAACATTCTGCACCTGTCACGTTCCACACCTGTGTCCAGAGCAAGTGCAGGGCAAGGCCCAGGCTGAGAAGGAGGAGGAAGGAGTGGCAGGGAGGCCCGGCCCCAATGGCAGCTGATGGCAGACTGCTGGAGATCTGTACCTGGGAAATGATGAGGGCGGACAGGGGGACGTGGGATGCCAGCGTAGGGCTGTCGGAGTTGATGAGGGATTCGATCTTCTCTGCTTCTTTATTGCAGGCTTCAATCTGAGAGAGGACATTAAGATTCTTTTAATGTAAAACCATAGAATCTATGAAAGGTCAAGTCAGACAAATTCTCTATACACCCCAAAAGTAGAATGGCAGAGGGAATTTGCTTTTTCTTTGTCTTTCTTTCTTGACTATTTTTTAGTCGTCTTAATTTATTATGTAAATTTGAGAGCATTTATTAAAAAATATGAAAAGAAATGAATCTTAGTATCACTTCCCTAATCAATCAGCTGCTTTCATTTTCCTATGACATTATTCACTGCTTATCCACAGAGACGTCATCTTGTGGTCTAACATGGTCACAGGGATGTACTTTCAATGCCTAGTCATGTATGTGGATGAAAGCAATTCAATATAATGAGGTTTCTTCTTTTTTTCTATTTTTTTATTATTTTTTTAGAGATTTTTGTTATAAGGGCACATGCTCTTACCACAGAGACAGAGATAGAAAGCGAGAAATCACCATGGGGATGGCCATACAGCATCCCCCTCTCTACTCTCCTCTCGGGATTTTGGGGACACATGAACACATGCCCTACGTGAGTTTCAAGCCGCCAGGTCCGGGACTCAAACCTCAATCAGCCATGTGGGAGTTCAGTGATGTAACCATTACACCATCTGCTGGTCCCAATGTAATGAGGTTTCTAATAAGGGCCTACCGTCCTCAGGAGACTGGAGCCTCTCCAGGCTCTGCCACTAAATGATCTGGGCTAGTCCCCTCCCTCGCTGGGCCTCAGCCGCCTCATCTGTACAATGAGCAGACTTGATCTGATGGTTTCTCAGGTCCACTCCACTTGGGCACACTCTCAGTCACAGTACCTGAACCTCTCCCCTCCTGGCCCCTTTGTGTTTTAGCCTTGGTTCCCTGAAAAAGTGCCAAGTCCTTCAGAGATTGCCTTGCCTTCTTTGTTCCTCTTGTTTTGCTGAACTGTCTAAATGCCTCCATTTCCTCACCCCCTCCTCTGTCCTGGCTGTGCCCACTCCCTGCTAAGTCCACCAAACTTGAAAGTGATGAAATGGCAATACTAGGCGTGCTAAACCCCACCTGCAAAGCTTTTGGATGATGATCAACAGGAATGATCAGGATCACAATTTCAGACTCGATGCTCAAGTACCCAAACACATCACACTGGGGTACAGACACGTGCATGCGGATTTTTTGAAGTATATCCAGAACTGTTATCGGCTTTTTGTTTGTTACCTAGAAACAGGAAACATTTCTATTTACTTGAAAAAAGAAAGAACAAAATAGACTTCAAGATAAAAACTGTAAAAAAAGAGACAAAGTCACTATATAGTATTAGAGGGATTAATTCACCAAGAGTATATAAATATTTACACGCAATATTGGGACACCCAAATACATACAACAAAGACTGCTAGACCTAAAGAGAGAGAGAGACTGCGATATACTAATGTTTGTGATTTCCACACCCTGCTGTCACCACTGGACAAATCAACCAGACAAAAAATAAACAAAGAGACACAGGAGCTAAATGACACCATAAAGCAATTTACCTTAGCAATAGTATCCAGTTTTTCTTTGTCATACAGAACTCTTAACATCCCAGCACACAACGGGCAACAAGCACCTGCATAACAGAAAGCGTGTCACGTGTGTTCCGAACTAGAAACCAGGAGAAATCGAAATGGTGGGTGAGGTGAGCAACTAGGGGATGACAGCTGTCCTTCCTGATGACGGCACCTTCAGATGTATTTCCTGACCAGTCTGTCTTACAATCTGTATGTTTACCAGAATCCCTCCTCCCTTCCTGCTTGGCCATCAGCACTTCTGAGGGTGAGGAGGCCGTGATGTAGACAGCAGAGAGGTGGCCTTTCACGAGACGTGGCCTGACTGCTCTGCCTAGAACTCACGGTGTGGTCCTGGGCAAATGCTTTCTCTGGGCCTTTGTTGTCTTGTATGTGAAAGAAGGGAGTTGGGGTTTCAGGGTTTCACAAACATTTGAAGAATTAATGGATGGAGAAATGAACTTGACAGGTTCCAGATTAACTTATTCTGGGCAGATTTAGAATGAAGTCTTCTCTGCTACTTCTGCTTACCTGGGGAGTGTAAGCTTGTAAGGTGAACTGCTTTTAAAAAATGATTACTGTTGGGGACCAGCAGTTAGAGTAATGGCTATGTCGCTGAACTCCCATGTAGTCGACCATAGTTCGAGTCCCGGACCCAGTGGCTTAAACTCACACCTGGCGCGTGTGCCTGCGTGCCCAAGATCCCAAGAGGAGAATAGAGGAGAAAGGATTACAACGTGGCCATCCCCCTTGGGGGAGTGATTTCTCATTTTCTGTCTGTCTCTCTTTGTCTTTCTAGTGAGCACAAGTGCCCAAAAGTGCCCTAAAGCAAAAAACCCCAAAAAAAAAAAAAAAAAAAAAAAAAGATTACTGCCAGACCAGCAGATGGTGAAATGGTTACATCATTGGACTCATAGTAGACTGTGGTTTGAGTCCTGGACCTGGCAGTTTAAAACTCATGCTGGATGCTTGTGTGTGTGTGCCCAAAATCCTGAGAGGAGAATGGAGGAGAAGGGATTGCAATGTGGCCATCCCCCTTGTGGGTGATTTCTCATTTTCCATCTCTCTGTCTCTCTGGCAAGTATATGTACCCTATAGCAAAAATCTCTTAAAAAAAAAAAGATTACTACTTGGAACAGTCTGCATGAAACCTTAGAACAGTCTGCATGAAGCAAGACTTTCTAAAACAATTAAAGTGGATGCTAGGCCAGCCAGTGGTTAGGGTAGCTGGAATATATAGGTTAAGGAATATAACAGGTTAAGGTGGCTGGTTAAGGTGGCTGGGGTAAATGGCTGATGATACAGTTTGAGTCCTGGACTAGTGGCTTGGAAAACACATTGGGCATGTGTGTGTGTGCCTGAAATACCAAAAGGAGGAAGAAATGGGGGAGAAGGGATTGTGCATAACCACCTCCCATGGGGAGTGCTTTCTTACTCCTCCTTCCCGTCTCTCTTTTGCAAGCACATGTGCCCTCTGGAAAATGAAAAAAAAAAAAAAGAAGAAAAGAAAAGAAATTTAAAAAGGAAAACGAAAAAAAATTGGATGCTAAGGCCAAGCTAAGACAAAACCTATCTTTTGTTTCTCTCAATTCTAAGTTTGTGTTAATCAAAACTACTTCAGTTATTCACTTCAATTAATTACTAATTCATTATTTGTTAAATAAACATATATATGTGCATATATATGTTTATTTATATATATATAAACATATACACATATATAAACAGTATTTATTTAAGCTAATTGCCATTTTAGTAACTAAATACTACTTTATATGTTTATATACTGTTTGATATACAATTTTGTTTGAGAAAAGGCTGTTATGAGTGATATATCATCTAAAAAAATGCCCGAATCTAAAAGAAAATTTCAAGGCATATAAAAGAAAAAAGGTTGACATATTGTTTTAAAAATCACTGGATTGTGGATAATATATTGCTTAAGGTCAAGCAGAGAAACACATCTAGTTAACAGTCTCTTTAAGACTTTTAAAAAATTTAAATAAACTAGCAACTCTCTTCTCCTCAGTGACTTACTCTCTGGAGACAGATAAGCAAATCTTCCCAGTCCCACCACCCCTGGGAGCCCCAGATGTCGCCAGCCTACCTGGTGGGATGATGGGCTTGCACCCAGTCGCTGAGAGCAAGGGACACTTCACAGCAGCACACTCGGTGGCAGAATTGTACTCTGAGAGGACCCCGACAGCCTGGCAGGGCCCATGGTAATCGACTGCCACCCGATCTGAGTAGGCAGCACACACGCTACTATAGGTCTCGCCGTTGTGCCCGCAGATGGGCTCTGAGGCCCTGCAGAAGGGCTGAGGGCAAACAAGTCACATTTAGCCTAGAAAACTAGGAAACCCCAAGCCCAGACTCCTAAGAGTATCCCAGAGATGTCTGAAGAAAATTAGATCAATCTTCATGCAAATGCAGAGGCCTTATCATTTCATGCTGGGTAAGAAAAAGGAGAGGGAAGGACGGAGAGATCAGAGGGACAGACTCTGGGCCCTCGGGAAGGAAGGAATACATCAGAGAAAAGTCATAGCTAGGACGAGGGAATGAGCAGGCAGAGAGACTGGGCGGGTGTTCGCAGATGAGCTCAAAGTAAGCGACAGAAAGTAGGAGAAGAAAAAAGCCCAGGTATCCCAGAGATGTCTGAAGAAAATTAGATCAATCTTCATGCAAATGCAGAGGCCTTATCATTTCATGCTGGGTAAGAAAAAGGAGAGGGAAGGACGGAGAGATCAGAGGGACAGACTCTGGGCCCTCGGGAAGGAAGGAATACATCAGAGAAAAGTCATAGCTAGGACGAGGGAATGAGCAGGCAGAGAGACTGGGCGGGTGTTCGCAGATGAGCTCAATGTAGTCGACAGAAGCTAGGAGAGAAAACAAGCCCAGGGAGACGAGCCCAAGACTATTTTTTCCCCCTAACCATGATACTCAGGGAATGAGAAGCAACTGCATCAGGTGTTAGCTGGCTGTGAACATGTGAACAGGGGATTCCAGGCCCAGGGGTGGGAATTCCCAGGGAGAAGGGCCAGCATACAATCAGTGGTGCGTTTGGAAAGCCCCGAAGGGCTTGTCCTTGGGGTCATTATTATTATTTTTTAACATGAATGCAGATTCCACAACTGCAAGTGACTGATAGATAAGCTACATGAAAACACATCAAGTTTTAGAGAGATTTTCAAACACTTGTCAGAACCGTGGGAGGTGGGGCTGTGTAGAAAGAGTGGAAAACTCTTCTTTTGATGGTCTTAACTCACATTCTTCCTGATTTGTTTTCTAGTGAGTGTCCAAGATCTATGGGGAGTGAAAACGGTGTTGATTACCAAAATTCTTCCTAAGACTGGACTGCAAGAAGTCACCTGTTCTCGGCTGTACACTAGATGTGCGAAGGTACACAGGCTAGCAAGACAGCCCTCCAGCATTAGGAGAAAGAGCCAGCCTTCATTTTCAGCAAAGGAGTGGGTTCTCTAGTTTGAGAGGATTCCTGAAAGATCCCCCTAGTGGTCTTACTGATGATTCGCCTGTACAGGATCATACACCAATTTTATGCCTAGCTAAACAGCTGTACCTGGCATGGGCCTTTGTAAGAGAGGCTTTTTCCTCTTTGGTATAAAGTGCAGAGATTGCCGTGCTCCACGTGGTCTGTGTCACAAACAGGATCGCGGGCCTGGTCACAGGCAAGCTGTCTTGGCACACATTCATATTGGCTGCATCCAAATTTATCAAAAGTCGTCAGGCAGACTTGAGGCCTGGGTATGCATCTGGAAAAGGTGACAGCAGAGTCATGAGCCAATGTAGGGAGGGATGTGAGGGCTGGTAGAGTACTGGATGAGGCAGGGAGGCTGAAGAGAAAGCAAAAGACCAATCAAAACAGGCCTGTCATAGGACCCTCAGAGAGCCGGAGAGTCAAACTTGTGTACGAAGCAGGCTAGCAGGAAAGGACAGCCAAGGTGTCCATGGGGATGAGGCACTCTCACTGGGGAGTCTGGAGGGAGCATCGGGAGGAGGTGTCTGGCTGAACCTGGAGGGCACGGTGGGTTACCAGGGCATGCCAGGCTGAGGGAGAGCCACAAACACAGGACGCTCGAGGAATGTGGTGCTGAGGAGTGGTGGGAGAGCCTGAAGGCAGGCAACAAGGATGAGAGGTGCCATGAGGTGAAACCAACAAGTGGCTGAGTCTCACGCTGGAGTCAACAGCAAATGACACACTTTCAGGTGCTTAATTTTTATCTTGAAGAGTCTATCTTTAAAAAAGGCTTCACTTTAGGTCCTAAAAAATCAGTTTTCTATGCCTACAAGACAGAGGAGCTAATGCTGGCTGCGAATCACCTAGAGAATGCCACCAGGATTCACACCACATGGTTGGTCCCATGCAGGATCGGCTCCCTTAACAACTAGGTCACAGGGCCAGCCTGATCCCAAATGTTTTGAGTGTGCATATACCACAAGCAGAAAATTCCACATCTGACCTCATGTGTTGTGTCGTAGATAAAACACAACACATGGGACCAGCAGATGGCCTAATGGTTACGTCACTCAACTCCCATGTAGTCACTCACAGTTTAAATCCTGGACCTGGTGGTTTAAAACTCACACCGGGCACGTGTGTGTGCGTACCCAAAATCCCAAGAGGAGAAAGGAGGAGAAGGGATTGAGGCCATCCCCCCTGGGGAGGTGACTTCTCACTTTTCATCTCTCTGTCTCTTTCTGTCTCTCTGGTGAGTACATGCACCTTATAACAAAAATGTCTCTTAAAAAAAAAAGAGACCAGAAGATGATATAATGGTTACATCTCTGGACTCTCATGGAGTGGACTGTGGTTTGAGTCCTGGACCTGGTGGCTTTTTAAAGCTCACACACTGGGTGTATG